GGGGAAAACCGCCACATTTAAATTTATGTTGATGTTGCACATCCAAATCGGGCGTTACTTTCTGTGGCGACTGTACAATTATCAATTACAGTCGCGAAATAACCACATTTTTTCAGTTCCCGACTTATTATGAAACATAAGAAATTTGACCTCCATACCATATAGTCACAACCTCTTTATAATCACAGCTTATCATATCCCGAGAGTGTTTATATACGTATGCTTAAAACATATTGATATAATTCGAAGCATCTTATTCATCTTGTTAATTTCCCCAATTACTAAAAAGATTCTATGTATAGATATAAATTGTTTGATAAAAATAACCGTAGAGCACTATCTATCACTAATGAACTCGTTGAATAGTACCGGCAATGTATTTATTATAAAAGCAATAACAAAAATTTTGTTTAACGCTATTTAAATTAAAAATCGAGATATTACTTTAGCTGTATTTCTCCGTGTTGGATTTTCTGATTAATATTAACGTCTCCACGCAGAAGTGAGTGAAATGTCACAAATTTTCGGCCTAGGAAAAATTTTACCCGAAAAAAAAATATCAGAGATAATCTATTTCTGGTGTATTTTTTTCCAAAACACTTTTATATAGGGAATATATGACGCATATACCAACATTGGGTGAAGCCTCGAGAATTTATATGCTAATATTGGTTATAAACTAGAAATATTTTCAATAAATACATCGTATTCCAAGATAAGGTATTTAGAGTCATGAAAAACGTGTTATCGTTATACAAGAAGAAAAAACATACGTACATTAATAGTGATTTTCTGGGGTTGAACAAAAAAATATTTCATGATATTTACATTTACGTATTAGTCCTTTTCTGTACCAATTTTTCTTATAGAACAATGGGAAAACTAAAGCAATTCAATTGAATCAAGTTTGAAATTTTTCTAAAAAATTCGATGTGCAGTACGTATACGTATTTATTTACATTTTCAATTTAACAAAGAATATTTCCGTTCTGTATTTCATATTTACTTTTTCAAATATCCCAAGTTTTTAAGAAAATCAATTATTTTCTCAGGAGGTCTAGTAGCTATAGCATGCCCTTTATTCCAATCTACCAAAATCGGCGGACGCAATCTCGACGGATTCTTCTTGACGATGCTCACAAACTGGTCTACCGTTTTTGGCAAGAATTCCTCATCGATTTTTTCATGTGATCGATTTTGAATATTTTCCTCTGGAGCTATCGCATTTTCCCCATCTTCATTTGGTTTTTTCAAAACCTGTTTGAAATCATTTCCAAGATATTCGGCGATCGTGACAAGTTGATCTTTGGTCACTTCTTGTCGTGTGTGGTCGATTATGTCGACATCAAATGCGTCCTGACTTGACGTTTTTGCCGTTTTTAGAATTCTCAGTGCTTTTGTGGATGTTGCACATTTTGGACTATGGATAAGTGTTATTATTGGGCGTAGATGTGGAAGACGAAATGACATGTTTTTAGGGAACGACAACGATACGTAACTATCGCTATCGCTATATCAAATAATGAAAAAGGAAATGACAATGAAAAATGTACACACTTGACTTAAAATGTAAACAAGTTGATCTGCATAACATCTAAAGTCATCAAACGTTTGTATAAAATGGATAAACTTCTTTACTAAGAAGTAAATACAAAATTTAGTCCGTGAATATGATAGAATAGGCCCTTTCTGAGCATATTCACGGAATAAATTTTGTATTTACTTTTTAGTAAAGGAGTTTATCCATTTTATAAAATACAAACGTTTGATGACTTTAGATGTTGCGCACCATAGCCATGGCAAAAAAAGGTGTCGAATCATGTGATGATAAACCAATCCAACCAATAAGAACGCGCAAAAATTCTGCGCAACAAATAGGAATGTAGCAAATTTTGATCAACCCGGCAAAACAAATCCGGCGCAAGAAAATGAGAAAAGAAATAATCAATCAAAAAATTGTTAGAAAAATAAGAAATTAATAATTTAGTTAAAGCATTTGCTATTACTGATATTCCATTTGAAAAAATTAGAAAAACTTTATTCATTTTTCAAATATTATAAAAATAATAAATTTTAATTATTATATTCTTTTAAATTTAAATTTAACTAATAAGAAATACAATTGTAAATTAGAATTCCAAAAAAAAGTCTGGTTTGGTTTGAGTCTGGTTTGGTTCAAGCTTGAATCAGACTTGAATTAAACTAAAAATCTGATTCAAAAATTTGAATCCAATTAAAAGTCTGGTTTAAATTTAGTTTGAACTTTAAACCAGGCTTGAATCTGATTAAAAGTTCAGTTCAAGTAAATATTTAATAATGTTCTAAGTAAACTTGTAGATTATAACTAGAGCTACAAATTGATATAAAATAATTAATATTTAGGATGGATATTCAAAAAGTATATTATATTTGTAATATCATTTTGGTAATTTCTTAATTTGAAAAGGTTATAGATTCAATATTTTCTTTTGTGCTTTCTTAAATAAACATATATTTACATTTTGTATATTCTTTCTTTTTTAATTTTCTCTTGGATAATTTTTTTTATTTTGTTCTGATTTTTTTTTACAGTTTTTTCTTTTTTTGTTATGAATTTTTTTTAAATATTTTATTTATTTTTGTGATTTTTTTTCATGAATATTTTTTTTTAATTAAATTATAATTTTCTTTCTTAAATATTTTTTTAATTATCTTAATTTATTCTCTTATCATTATGCTTTTTTAAACAAAATAAAACTCTCAATTATATTTTATATACTTCTTCAAATAATAATTTTTATTTTCTTTGAATCATATTATTTTTATTTTGATTATAATTATATAAAATAATAATAATATTATTTAAAACTCTAAAAAATATATATAAAAAATAATTTAATATAAAAATTAGAATTGTTATATATAATTATTCTCCAAGTAAAATAAACTTTGTAAAATTTTTTTTATAATAATGAATTAAATTAACTAATAGTTAGAAACTTAATTTAGAAAAGATAATATTTAAAAAATTAACAACAATAGTTGATCTTGATAAAGAAATATATAATAGTAATAATTAATAAAAAACTTAATTAAATTTAAACTTATTAAATAAAGAAAATATTCTAATATATACTTATTTAAAGTTTAATATTAAATATAATATTTATAATCTTAATACAGACTAAAAAGTCTAATTTAATTCAAGCTTGAACCAAACTTGAATTTAATTAAAAGTTTGATTCAAAAATTCAAATTTGATTCGAGTTCAAGTAAATATTTTATATAAATCTTAATCAAAACTACAAATTATTATAAAATAATTAATATTTAGAATAAATATTCAAGAAATTATATAAATTTAAAAAATATTGTTAATTATTATAATTTTAATTTGCTTTAATTATATATAATAAATATTTATTTGCTATAGTAATTATAAATTATAATTATAAATAAAAATATAATCAGAAATAAAAATTATAAATTAATATAAAATAGTTATTATTATTTGAAAAATTATATAGTATTTATAATCAAATTTAATAAATATAAAAATAAAAATATTTTAGTTATTACTATATAAACTTTTAATTCTTATTAAATATCATAAATTACACTTATAAATAAAGTTATAATTCAAGTTTAGAGCTACAAATTGGTATATATTACTATATGCTAATTTTGAATTAAACTCAAATCAGACTTGAACTTGTATAATAATTCAATTTGTATTTAGTTCAAACTTTGGATTTTTCTTGAATTCAAATTAAAATTCAGTTTAAATTTCAAATTAGATTCAAATTCAGACAAAAATTCAGTTTAATTTGATTTATAAAAATACTAATATAAGCAATAATAATTATTATTCAAAATTATTGCTTTTTTAAAATTGTTATTTATAAAAAAATTTTTTCTTTTTAATCAAAATACAAATTTATATAATATTTTTGGTGTATTCTTTGTAAATTTATTATTTTTCTTTTCTCTTCCACTTGAAAAAACATGATTCAACTTATTCAGCTGATACTAATAAATACTTGAAAAATTTATTAGTTTAAATATTAAAATACAAAAATTATCTTATTTTACTTAAAAAATTAATTCAAGAATATAATTTTAAAGAAGTCTTGCAAATAATAATAATACTTAAAGAAAAATCTGAAGAAAATAAATTAGAATAAAAAAACAAAATAATAGATCTTAATAAATTATAATAGAATTAAATAATTTTATAATTATATTAATAACTGAAAATAATTAATTCATCAAAAAAATTATTTTTATATTGTTACTAATTCAATATCATCAATAATTCAATATAAGAACATGTGAATAGAATATATAGTTATGATAAAAATTAGTCATAATGATATTTGGATTATATAGTTAGTTTGATAATATTCTACTTCTTTTTATTTCTTTCTATTTTCTTTTTTATATTACTTATCTTTCTATATTTATTTTATTATTATATTTATTGAAATATATTAATCACATTATTTTCTTGAAAAATTTCATTATTTTCTATATTAGTTTAGTTTCTATTTTCTATTTTTGTTATTGGTACTTAAATGTAGAACAAGATTATTAATTATAATATAGTTAAATTTTGTATAATTTAAAAGAGAACTAGTAATTTTATAATATTAGTATAAATTTATTGTGTCACATATTGTGTTATAACTATATCATACTGCATTATACTGCATATTACTGTATCATACTATCTCACTGTAACATGAAAATATATATAAATACAACTGCTGATAATTAATAAAATCAAGTTCTTCAGTTTTGACTTAAGTTCTCTCAGTTCAATTTAAATTCTTCAGTTCTAGTTTTAAGTTCTTAAAATTTTGGTTTTGAGTTTCTTTTGGTTTAATATTGAGTTTGACATATTAAATTGATTTTATTTTTAAATTACAAGTAGTTTTTGGTTAAGTTCCTTTTTAGTTTAGTCTTGTTATTAGTTTAATTTTATTTTCATCATTTTTATTTTATTAAGAAACAATATTCTATCATCAAAAATATTATTTCATCATAAAATTTAAAGTAAATTGCTATAAACATAGTTATTATTATTATTTTGAAATACTTTTATATGCAAAAGCTCAAAATGATAACAATATAAAAATTTTGAGAAAATAATCAAAATTTAGAAGAATAACTTTAGAACTTTGAAATTGTTATTTGAACAAATATTATTATTAATAATAAAAGAATTCAGCTAGTTTGAAAATAATTAAAGAATTTATTACTATATAATTTAATCAAAGAAATATAAATAAAGCTTTAATTTTAATTAAATAAAAAAATGATTAATAAAATAATTAATTAATTTAAAGTAAAGATAATATAATAACTATTATAATATTGTTACCATGTGATGAATTCAGTATTTAATATAAGATATATTATATTACTTATAGTATATTTCTATTGGATAGTTAGTAAATATATAATCTACAAATTATGATCCTTTTAGTTTATACTAATTCTTTAGATTTCATACTATTTCATTCCAATTTCATTATATTTCATACTATTTTATCTTATATCTTTTATATTTTATACTATTTTATCTTATATCTTTTATAGTTCATACTATTATATTTTATATTATTTATATTTCATATTATTCATTTTTAATTCATACTATTTGTTTTTAGTTTATATTATTTTTATATTATTATTATTAGTATGAAAAACACATATTATCAATCTTTGAGAACCAAATTAGCTTGATAGTAATTAATAATAATTAATTATACTCAAGCAAAAGATATAAAACACTGCAAATTAGTTTATAGAATGAATTATATCTCATTCTAAATATAATAGATTAGTTCTAAATTAAGAAGATCAAGTAATGAATAATTATTATAAAAATAGCATATATCTTAGCTAGAAGAAAGCAGATAGTAAGGTAGAAAAGTAATAGTAAGAAGTTTAAAATAGATAACTTTTGATTAACTTAGTGTTAATAAAATTTCTCTGCTTTTATCCTTTAATAAATCTAATAATTGACTTATTGTATGTTCATCAGAAGAATTGATTACTCTATGTTTTCTTTTCTTGATCAATAATAAAGATTCTTGATAAATCTAAATTACTTCTTGGTGAAGTATTCGTTAAAATATTAAAGAACTTTGTGTTCTATCTTTCTTATAAATCTTTTACAACTACTCTGAATTCTTGGTGAATTTATTTAGTTCTTGGTGAACTTCTTTTATCTTTTAAAATACACTTTATTCTTAAATGTTCTTTGTGAACTTATTAGATTCTTTGTGAATCTTTTAGTACTGTAACTAACAAATAATAGTATTAGAAGATTATTTTATACTTTGCTTATTTCTCCACACTTTTTCACATGACGCAATTACTACCTATTGTTCTAGTAAAGACCTTTATCTGTAAAGACTATTAATGGTAATAATATGATGATAAATAAAGCATCACCTAGTTGTAATTAGTTGTAGCTTATAAAT